GCACACAGGCTTCTTGGTCGCAGCAGCAGCAGCCTTAGCATTTTCTTGCCCGTATCTGGGCTCCGCGCTGATAGCCGCGGCTCGCGCCCATCTCTGGAGCTCCTTTAAGCGGAGCTCCTAATCCCCTCTCCTCGCGCACCAGGAAACAAAGAGGCAAGAAAAAGTCTCTTGCCTCTTCGGCACCTCCAGACTTTTTCCCGGACACACTCCCGGCTAGCCGTGGCGCACTATCCCCCTTCAGGCTGTGTTCACGCCGCCAACCCCAGTCCTCTCCCGTCGCTCCGACCGAAGCCCGAGCCTCAGCTCCCAGCCCCGCCCGCCCCGGCGGGTGAGCAGACAAGCCTCTAGGGCTGGTGAGTGCTGGTCGGCACCGATCCTCTGTGCGGGAATCCCCCCGCTTTGCCCTCCGCACCCCTGTTGCTGTGCTCTCCTCCGCGGCCCCGAAGCTTCCCGCCTCCGCCACCTGCAGCCTCCGCCCGTGAAGGGGCTTCATAGTGTGGGGAAACTTTCCTCCTTCACAGCTTCCTCCACTGGTGCAGGTCCCGTCCCTATTCTTTTGTCTCTGTTTTTTCTTTTTTCTTTTGCCCTACCCAGGTACGTGGGGAGTTTCTTGCCTTTTGGGAGGTCTGAGGTTTTCTGCCAGCGTTCAGTAGGTGTTCTGTAGGGGTTGTTCCACATGTAGATGTATTTGTGATGTATTTGTGGGGAGGAAGGTGATCTCCACGTCGTACTCCTCCACCATCTTGAAGGTCTCTCTTAAAAGAATTTTCTTAATTGGTTCTTTCAAAATTCAGTAATGTCTCCCTTTCCTCAAATTAGCATGTCTAAAACCAAACTTATCCCCTTCTCCTGAAGCTGACACATTTCCTGTGGACATTTTTGTTACCAGCAGCACCCTGTTTCTTCCGTCACCCAGACTCTAAGCCTAGAATTGATTATTGTTTCCTCTCTGTTCTTGGCTTTCCAGTCAATTATTACAGCAGGTCAATTTTGCACTGTCTTGCAATTTTTTATTCCATTCCCACTCACGTGTATGACTTTCATTATCTTTTAACTGGACTATTGCATTGGTTTTCTAAATTATGTTTTTTTTGCTTTTAGTCTTTTTTTTCCCCTCTATTTTAAATAGTATCTGTATGAATATTTTGAGAGATGGCTTTATTGAATCATGTCCCTGCTTCAAAGTGAACTCCAAACTTGTGCCCTTCAAGGTACCCTATGGCTGTGATCTGACTCCACTTTCTCTGAATATTTTAGATTCTGGTACTTTGTTTCCTGGACCCTCTATTTCAGCCAAATATCCACTTTCCCACCAATATGCCTTTTCCAACTAAACTGTCCCCCTGGAATGCTCAAGTTCAACTTTTCTTATTAAAATTTTACCTGTTTCTTAATTCTTGTAGCACTTTTGGTGTCCCCCTTTACTGCTGCATTGTATGGTCTTTTCACTTTGCTTCAGTAGAAGACATCTCTAAGGCAGAAGCTAGGTCTTATTTTACTCATGTTTACTACATGCTTTCCATAATCTCTACACTCAGTTACTAGCATTAATCTGTTACATATGTCTCTTGGGAATTCTGTGGCTCATGGGTTTAACAATTTGTCCAGGGTCACAAAAATTATATGGCAGAGCTGGGCCTCCGCTCCAAATCCTGTGTATATCTGTGGGTGACATCATTCTGCCTTGCATATTTGTTGGTGGGATAAAGTGATTCTGTTCACCCTCATAGGCATATCCATTATGCTGAACTTTATCTTGTATTGTTTACTTCATCTTTTCTTGACTTATAATGCCAGAAATGCCAATACTCCGTGGTACGGTGGAAACTGAAGCATTTTTGAAAGTATATTCGGCTGACAGAGAGGCCCAGGGAAGTTTAGAAGTTATAGGCAATCTCACAATTATCTTGATTATTTTGAATTCCCATTGGTTCCTGAATTTCTAGGAGGCAGCATTTTTTTTTTTTTTTTTTTTTTTTTTTTTTGGGCCCCTCACTGCTGCGGCCTCTCCCGTTGCGGAGCACAGGCTCCGGACGCGCAGGCCCAGCAACCATGGCTCACGGGCCCAGCCGCTCCGCGGCATGTGGGATCTTCGCGGACCAGGGCACGAACCCGCGTCCCCTGCATCGGCAGGCGGACTCTCAACCACTGTGCCACCAGGGAAGCCCAGGAGGCAGCATTTTTATGCATCATTTTAAGAGCCAGCTTTAGGATGAGTGTGCATTATTTCATTAACCTTTTCCTTCTTGGTATCAAAATTTAGTGTCTATCTTTAGGCTTAAACTTGAAGTTCTTTTGAAGGTACCACCCCTTTGAATGTTATACCTCTGTACAGGCCACCTTTAGATGAACAACCTCATTGTCTTTTGCAGACCCTGCTTATGAAAATACTTTTTCAATTGAAAATACCATACCAGTGTAAACAATGCCCATGGATAACTACCATCTGAAGCGGTGCCTAAGGGCAAGTGTCTTTCCTGTGTGCCCAGTGGCTGCCTACTCTGCAGATGTGCATAGCCAGCTTCTCTTGAAAACCGGGGATTCTCTGGCTCCTTTGCTTGCCATATCCACAAAACTGACTAAGTTGTCTTATAGAGATCTGTATTCTTTTACCTTCAGCAAACAGGCGTGTAGCAGAGCACACTCATGACCACAAGCAAAATTGGCATTTCTCCCATCTGGCTGTGTTCCTCTTGGCCCCCGTTCATGGGTCATTTATTATTGGAGAGAACATAAAATAAAGATGGTTCACAGAGTCATCATATTTTTATCCAGTTTCTTCTGGGACCCAGGATTCATGACAATTTGAGCCAACTAGGACGTTAAGTCAATTCATCCTTAACATTTCCTTTGTTATTATATCATGCAATGGATGCTTAGGTATCTAGTGCCTGACTTTTTTTTTTTTTTTTGCATCTGCACGGGCAATTATCAGTTCAAATCCTAAACCCAATGCATACTAGCTGTGTGAATTTGGGCAAGGTATTTAGCCTCTCTAACTCTGTTTTCTCATTTATAAAACAGGCAATCTGAGTTCTTGAGGAATATTGTGAGGAAAACAGCAAGTGTGCCAACTTTGACTATCAAATGACTTTCAGAAGTGGGAGCAAACATATTCAACCTTTGAAATATTAGAAAGTACAGACTATCTAAAAACTGTTACCTGTGTCACTACTATAGCTTCTAGTAGCAAGTGGAGAATGTGGATAATTGAGTGTGGCTGGCATTTGCCATCAGTGCTCTAAACTACATGATGCTGATGGCATTGTAGAGGGAGCTGATCATTGAATCTTTGCCATGTCTGGTTTCATAACCACCACTAAGCGTGGGTGTGCTGTGGAACATCTGAGAATAGAACTATTCCTTGTCAGCCTCCAAATGGGCAGGCACCTGATGTGCCTCTTCCCTTGTTTGCTAATCAGTGGATAATATCCCAAGTCAGTTAAAAAAACAAAACAAAATAAGTCTGGGGGTTGAGGTTTATAAGGAAAACTTGAAGGTGACTTCTAAGTAAACTGTGGTGGGTATGTTGGCCAACCTCTCACAAAAGTCTGCAGTAATTTGAGTGTCCTAGATATTTATTAAGTGCCTATTTTGTGTCAAGCACTACATTTGGCCTTGGGAATATAAGATGTAATCTAGGAGTCTTTCATAAAGAGTTTAAAATAGTCATTAGGGTAAGCTTAAAGAGAACAGTCTTCAACAGAGCATAGGCTCCAGCAGAAGAGCTCCAATGTTTGCTGATTCAGAAGTTTCCCAGAGGACCAAACTTGGTGTCATCTTTGAAATGTCTTTGGTCCTTGGCCATTGCTATATCATAATAATTAGTTTAACATGGAAACTGTTAGACTCACTACCAGATTTCACAGTTTTCACTGTTTTCTTGGAATGCCATTGGTGTGATCCTTTCTTTGTTGTAGTTGTCCCTCCTCTTCCTACTTTTTCCATAGTACTATTTCTTTATAAAGATGAAAGTCTCATAGGGCTGTTTTATGAATTGTGATTTAATACATGTAAAGAGCAAAACACAAAAACAGCTATGTGAAATCTATGGAACTGTGGTTCTAGAGTACCACCAGTGTCATTTTATGACTTCTGACCATATTAATAATGAGAATGGAAATTATAGCTAGGTAAAGAGGATAGCACCATCTTACATTTGGCAGCTCTTCGTCCTGAAAATATTGGGTTTCATGGTATTGGCATTAGTTTCCAGAGTGTGGCAAGAGTCTGATGATTAGATTGGTTACTTAACCAGGTAGAAGTGCAAAGGCCACATGGCATATCCATTTCTTCAAACATGAACAATTCGGAGAGTTAGAGTTTAGGATTGAAATGTTAACTCAACAGGGTAAGCAGGAGCCTGCAGCCTTAGTGATCGGGAGGGTCCAGTTGTTTTGACAGTTTAAATTTCTGTGATTGTGCTCCTGCAGCTCAGATCCATCTGCTTTCTCCTATCCTTCTTGGTCAGCCCTTTGGATTTCCTTCCTTCCTCCTCCATCTCTTCCCATCTTTCCTTTCCCTTCCCTCTGAGCCTACCCCCTTGTTAACTGAGCTCCTAATACGTGCTAGACACGATTCAAGGCACTGGGGGCATAATCTGTGATTAGATGGAATCTCTACCCTCATGAAACATATTCTAGCAGGAAAGAAAGATGGTTAAATATATAATACAATGTCAGGAAGTGAATATGTACTTCATCACTGACACGTTTTCTTCTTCAGAAAAGCAATGAATTCTAGAGAGGGTCCCCGATACCCAAAGAGTCATTTCTCCATTAATACCTATAATCTGAAAAGTTTGGGCCTCTGAGGGGCCCAGACTCTGAGTGTATTGTGCTTTCCTAAATTAGAAGACATGGTTTCCCAATGCTGGCTGTGGCTTTCAGGGCAGAGGAGAGCACAAGGGTCCCAGGAACCACCCCTCCCGTCCTTCCTTATGCAGCTAATTCAGCCTGGTCTCTATAAACCATGTCCAATCTTTCCTTCTCAACTCATAGGGTAATTCTGAGAAGCTCTGTAGTCTGTATGAGAGCACTTGAATGAAGAAAATGCAAAACTAGATGAAGTGACTCAGTTGGCAAATGATCTGACAGCACAGAAAACAACGCTACGGAGTGAAAATGGTAAGTGAACTTTCAGTGACGCTTCACTTATGAGTCTCAATCCCATAGACTGGTAGAGAGACCACTGAAATGGTGAAACAGTTATTGAGCCTGAGTGGGCACTTAAAAATTCTAGGGGACAAATGAGGCCCTTGATGTTACCTTGTCCACAGACACGCTCTTGTCTGGGAAAGATCACCTCTGTACCACCTTGGGAGTCCCCACCCAGGTCTCCTCCTTGAAGGGAAAATGCAACATGCAGTTGACTGGAGCAGCTTTCAAGATCAAAGGATGGTAGGGGCTGTCCACACAGTCTACAAACATGCCTCTTCATCACATCTACCTCATTGAAATAGGTATTTTTCCTAATTTTCAGTAATGAACCCACACCTCTTTTTTATATCTAAATTTATTTAAATTTATTTTTAAAATTGAAGTATAGGTAATTTACAATGTTGTGTTGCTTTCAAGTGTACAGCAAAGTGATTCAGTTATACATATATATGTATTCTTTTTCAGATTCTTTTGCATGGTAGGGTATTACAAAATACTGAGTATAGTTCCCTGTGCTATACAGTAGGTCCTTGTTTACCTATTTTATATATAGTAGTGTGTGTATGTTAATCCCAAATTCCTAATTTATGTCCCTCCCCCATCCCTGCTATCCCCTTTGGTAACCATAAGTGTGTTTTCTATGTCTGTGAGTCTACTATTTGTTTTGTAAATAAGTTCATTTGTATCATTTTTAAAAATTCCACATATAAGTGATATCATATGATATTTGTCTTTCTCTTTCTGACTTACTTCACTTAATATGATAATCTCTAGGTCCATCCATGTTGCTTCAAATGACATTATTTCATTCTTTTTTATGGCCGAGTAATATTCCATTGTGTGTGTATGTGTATATATGTATACACACACATATATATATATACACATACACATCACAGCTTCTTTACCCATTCAGTTGTGGATTGACATTTAGGTTGTTTCCATGTCTTGGCTATTGTAAATAGTGCTGCTATGAACATTGGTTTCCTCTAGATATATGGCCAGGAGTGGGATTGCGGATCATATGGTAATTCTTTTTTTAGTTTTTCAGACACCTCCATACTGTTCTCCATAGTGGCTGCACCAGTTAACATTTCCACCAACAGTGTAGGAGGGTTCCCTTTTCTGCATATCCTCTCCAGCATTAATTGTTTGTCGACTTTTTGATGATGACAGTTCTGACTGGTGTGAGGTGATACCTCATTGTAGTTTTGATTTGCATTTCTCTAATAATTTGTGAAGCTGAGCATCTTTTCATGTGCCTGTTGGCCATCTGTATGTCTTCTTTGGAGAAATGTCTATTTAGGTCTTCTGCCCACTTTTTGATTGGGTTGTTGGTTTTTCTGATATTAAGCTGTATGAGCTGTTTGTATATTTTGGAAATTAATACCTTGTGGGCTGCATTGTTTGCAAATATTTTCTCCCATTCTGAGAGTTGTCTTTTTCCTCTGTTTCTGGATTCCTTTGCTGTGCAAAAGCTTTTAAGTTTAATTAAGTCCCATTAATTTATTTTTGTTTTTATTTCCTTTACCCTAGGAGACAGATGCAAAAAGATACTTCTGTGATTTATGTCACAGTGTGTTCTGCCTATGTTTTCCTTTAGGAGTTTTATAGTATCCACTATTACATTTAAGTCTTTAATCGATTTTGAGTTTATTTTTGTGTAGGGTGTTAGAGAATGTTCTAATTTCATTCTTTTACATGTAGCTGCCCAGTTTTCCCAGCACCACTTCTTGAAGAGACTGTCTTTTCTCCATTGTATATTCTTGCCTTCTTTGTCATAGATTAATTGACCGTATTGTGTGGGTTTTTTTCTGGGCTTTCTATCCTGTTTCATTGATCCATATGTCTGTTTTTGTGCCAGTACCATACTGTTTTGATTACTATAGCTTTGTAGTATAGTCTGAAGTCAAGGAGCATGATTCCTATAGCTGTGTCCTTCTTTCTCAAGATTGTTTTGGCTATTCAGGGTCTTTTGTGTTTCCATACAAATTAAAAATTTTTTTGTTCTAGTTCTGTGAAAAGTGCCACTGGTAATTTGATAGGGATCACATTGAATCTGTAGATTGCCTCGGGTAGTATGAACCCACACCCCTTTTTTACACTCAGTAAAAGCCATAGTCTGGGGCTTCCCTGGTGGCGCAGTGGTTGAGAGTCCACCTGCCAATGTAGGGGACACGGGTTCGTGCCCCGGTCTGGGAAGATCCCACATGCCGCGGAGCGGCTAGGCCTGTAAGCCATGGCTGCTGAGCCTGCGCGTCCAGAGCCTGTGCTCCGCAACGGGAGAGGCCACAATGGTGAGAGGCCCACGTACTGCAAAAAAAAAAAAAAAAAAAAAAGCCATAGTCTGTACAATGGCCTACAAGGGTCAGATGCTTGGGCCCCATTATCTCTCTGACCTCTTCTACTTTCTCTTCTCTCATTCTGCCTTGGTCACTTTGACCTCTTTGCTGTGTTTTGAACATACCATGCACACTCCCACCCTAGAGTCTTGCCCTGACTATTTCCCCTTGTCCTGACTATTTCAGCAAAGACTTAAAGATGAGGGTTAATCAAATAGATCTGGGAGGAGTCAGGATTGGCCTTGTTGGGAAGGTGACATTTGAGTGCTCTCAACCAGTTTTCTCCATGTGCTTCTATTTTCATAGCATTTAATACCTTCAAAGAAGCTACCTGCTTGACATAATAAATAAGTTTGTCATGTCTCCACCTGCCAGAATGTACCCTACACAAGGGCAGGGGTCTTTGTTTTGATCACTGATTTTTGTCAGTCATCTAGACCATGCCTGCCACTTATTGGAGATCCACAAACATTTGATCAATTGAAAGTAGAACAATGTTCCGTTGGCTTATTCTTAACTGTCAACCGCTATTGTTAGTTAGATCTTTTTCCTATATTTTACATGGTGGCAATCTATTTGAGGTTTTTCAATTTCAGTTTGTCATGAGCTTTTTTGTATCTTGCATACTCAATCACTTACAAGAGTGCTTCGAATCCATCAAGTAGATGGACAATGGTTACTTCATCTTGTCCTGTAACTTGCTTGTCTGCTTTGAACAGCATGTGACTAGCTGTTTGTCTGTAATTAGAATTATTTTTAGTAATATATTCCCAAAGATAGAATTCCTAGGTCAATGAAAATAAACAATGTGTTTTTGATGCCCAGAGGCACTCACTTTAAAACGAGAGTGAAAACCGTTTATCCTTCTGCCTATGGACACCTCTGTTTCTAGATGTTAATCTAGAGTCAAAGCTAAATTAAAATGAACTGGCAAAATAACAAACCTGGAAATCTAGAAGAGGAAAGAGTTTTGGATTCTAGCAGGGACACTAAGTAGGACTCTTATGCTGGTGACAGGGTGTATCACACTTGGCCTCATTACAAAACCCCCAGTTTGATCTTCTGTGCCATTTAGGATGTAGTCTGCATGGGGACTGTTCAGTTCAGAGACTAAGCTGGAGTATACCTTTTTGTCCAGCTCTGAAGGTAGTATTGTATACAAGTTTTTTCATAGGCATTGCCTACCTCTCTACCTATTGGCATTAATTTTCTACTCACTTTTTTGATGAGGAAATTGGTGGGTGAGTGAAATGAAAGTGGATCTGAGATGATAATTCTGCTTAGGATGCAGGACCTTTTATTTCCTCCTTTATTCTTAGCTTTACCTTTTGGCTTTTGTACAAATTAAATTTTAGGTATATACCTATCCAAACCTCCCCTCCTCTCACTAGGTCTATGCTCCAGATTTTTTGCTGCTTTTTTTGCTACTATCACCAAAGTTTCTTTTTCATGGCCTGTCCTGGCCACTGATTATACTCTGCTTTCAAAGGAGACCAATAGTAAATGTGAACAATTAAGCCATGTTAAGTGGGTCCTAGTTCTATAAAATATGTGATATGTTTGTCTTAACCCCCTAATGCAGGGGTTCCTAATCCCTGGGCTGCGGTCCACAACCTATTAGGAACCAGGCCGCACAGCAGGAGGTGAGTGGTGGGCGAGAGAGCGAAGCTTCATCTGCCGCTCCCCATCGCTTCCCATTGCTTGCATTATCACCTGAACCATCCCCCACGACTCCGTCTGTGGAAAAATCGTCTTCCACAAAACCAGTCCCTGGTGCAAAAAAAAGGTTGGGGACTGCTGCCCTAATGGATTGGCATTTCCCCAGAAAACTTTTAAATATGATGTATCACCCAGAGCTTCTCAGTTTTGGTCTATGCAACCCCAGCAATTGTCAAGACTCTTTTAGGGGAACTAAGTAAGAGGTTAGAACTATTTCATTCTAATACTAAGATTCTGTTTGCTTTTTAAATTCTTTTGCTGCTGTTATTGATGGTGCAAAAGCAATGACGATTAAAACTGCTGGAGCTTTATCACAAGCTGAGGCAGTAGCACCACACTGCAGTTATAATCATTGTATTTGCTGGTCCATACTCAACAGTTTAAAATAAAAAAAGTCAGTTTTACTTAAGAATGTCTTTAATGAAAAAGTAAAAATTAATTATACTACATCTCAACCCCGAGTATATATCTTTTTAATATTCTGTGTGACAAAACAAAAAGTATGCATAAAGCACTTCCATTTCATACTGAAGTAGGATGTGTGATTGTGCAAGTTCTGAGTTGAACTAGCAATCTTTTCAGGAAGAATCATATTTACTTGAAAGAACATTTGACAAACTATGCTTATTCAGACTTAGATATTGCAGATATTTTCTCAAAAATGAACAAAATGAGCCTGTCACTACAAGGGAAACAGCTGACAATATTTGTTGCCAATAATAAAAGTGGAGCTTTTAGGTAAAATTAGATTTCGGAAAACAGTTAGGTACCATCATAAGCTTGATGGCTATCAATTCTTGAAGACTTTTCTTTTTTCTTTCTTTTTTATTGAAATATAGTTGACATGAAATATGATATTAGTTTCAGGTATATAACATAGTGATTCAACATTTATTTATATTTCAA